ACAGTATTGTTTTACTGTGGAGAGTTGTTGGGCTAGCTCAGATCGATACTGTTGAGCTATGGCAGTTCTTCGAAGATAGTGGATTGGCATGCTTCTTGCCGACTTGCGAGGGCCTGAAGGGAAAAGAACTGTCGAGCGTGCGCGCACCACGGCGTGATCGGAATCAAGTGGGGTGTCCCAGAAAGAACGGCAGTCTTGAATTGTGGCTCTCCACCGGTGGCTGATGGCCACGTGGTCCAACTGGGTCCACGGTTGGTTTGTAGTTGGCGGTAGCCAGGTAACGCGGTACGAACGTTTATGTTGAAAGTTCGTACTTGCCAGAAACAGTTCGTGATCAGCATTTGTCCTCCGAAAACGACTATTTTGGGAAGCATTGAAGACTGGCCAAGTGGACTTCGTGGTACCTTCGGTTCGCACAATGGTTACCTGTTCAGTTCACACTTTTTAACGTGACATTATACGGATCCATGCTCCGGAATAGACCAGAGTTAAGTGACGCTATAAAGAATCTGACTTCGCCCGATAAATCGCTGCTGCAGTTATAAAATATTGAAAAATGCTGTGGTAGATTAGGTCGGTTAGTGGAAGGTTAGGTTGGAATAATGCCACGCTTAGTGAGACACGTTGAAAGACGCAAGGAAGAAAGCACCTCGGTGACAAATACTGGATGAACACTTGTGGCTAAGACAGTTTGATTTTTATTGGAGCGTATCATATTACGGTGGATGGCTTACGTTGGTTCTCAGTGGTAGTCTTCACTCTACACCTGAGGGCAACTAGGACATATTATATGTTCAACCTACTGAAGAACATTATAAACGAGAAATTCAGCTGGGATTCAAATGGGTCTTCCATGAAAACTAAATCGTTATGCAAATGAATGCATCTGTCGAACACTGGCCACTAGATTATATGTTCTACTGAAGAACATTATAAACGAGAAATTCAGCTGGGATTCAAATGGGTCTTCCATGAAAACTAAATCGTTATGCAAATGAATGCATCTGTCGAACACTGGCCACTAGAATTTAGGTGTTTTTATACGGATGCGTAAGCTAAGGCGGTCTCAGGGAAGCTCGAAGTAGGTTTGGAAGACGAATGTGAATCCACACGCATGTCGTCACTGTGACTGTTGAAAGTCGAGATGTGAAATAACGACGCGAATAAACAACACTTAAATGCCGGCCAGCGAAACTGTGGGTGTTAATGCTATGCAATCAACCAGCCCCGAAAGATAAGAAAAAGCAAAATGATTCGAGATTTTGTGTGCTACAGCTAATGGCCTTGAGACGTGTTTAACCGTCGTCTTATTGATTGGGTCCATAAGTCATTTACGCCATCAGCTAATGTTTAGCCTGAAGAACTCAGAACACAGATGTCTGAAACGCCCTATGGGACGGGTTGCTAATCAGGGAAGCAATATTTTTCGAGCAGCGTACGCAAACTCAAAGTATGGTTCGTGTGCATCAGAAACTATCTGAAGTGTTCTCAACACAGACGAAGTTTTCGCAGTTCTTTATTCCCACTAATTTGAAGTGTTCCGTGTTTTTTTAAAAAAAAGGCACACTGGTAGCACCAATCCTGACAAATAGCCTGTATCGGGACAACCGATATGGTAAGCGGTAAGGTAAGAGAAAGACAAGTCACGCGCAAACGCGCGGAAGGTCAACGCACGGTAAACCACTAAGTTGACATTAACACAGGGCCGATGATAAGTCGTGTACTCTAAATTTCGACACAGCATTACTGTTTACGAAGCTTCAACCAGAATGGTGATCAGACAGTAACAGAGACCCCGACCTATAGAAGGTCTTAATTGTAACATCCACCAAGATCAGTGCATGTCATCTACCAGGATATCAAGGTGCCATGGACGCTGATAACTAGCCAATCAAATTCAGGAGACCCTATTTTCTAGTTACGGTCCCTAAGCGTCATGTCTTGTTCCCGAATTCAACTTTCATAAGAGTTTTTGACAAACTGTTTTCCAAATAAACAATACCATACTCATTTTGCAAACGATGATGATGATAACGACAAAGATGGAAATGATTCCATTCGGTGAACAACTCGATAAAAACACACCTGATGAAAGCCAGTCCGATTGGAGCCTGAAAGCAATGTGCGCAGTTCCGAAAACGCGGAAACAAGCCAAAGCCAGACGAGCAATTGAGCGAAGACCGATCTGGTGTTAAACTCTATTGCGCTGGTTCGAAACACAATTTGAAATACACATCGAAGACAACGCTGGCTACCAGTCAGGAACATAGGTGCGTCCGATACAAGACCACACGTCTATCTAGACACCTTTTGGTCTTCATAACGTGTGAAAGACGATTTAACTTGAGATCAAGTACGCCGGTACACATGAGGTCGTAAATTGAATCGCGATGGAAGTAAGCGAACAACGAAGAGGTAAACCAACAGAAGCGGGGGCCCTATGATTAAACTGATTTGTTTGTTACTGTGGAGGATTTCAACCAAGACGCTTAGACTAGGCATGGTTATTACAGATGACAATGATGATGATGACGAATCTGTTGCTCCGAATAACTACACATCACATGAATGTATCACTCGATATACAGTCGCTCAAGCCCGACCCACCTGAACCTAAGACTTCGTTTCGTTTCGCGGACCAACTCTCTTTCCTCTCTGAAGAGAAAGCCATTTTGGCGTCCCTTCAACTGACCTCTCCACAGGCGACCGTGCCGCGAGTCGTTGTTTTATACCACCGAAACAGCATAATCCAGCACTGAACATCAAGTGAATATAAAAAGACGCTCGTCAAGAAGAATAAAAAGCCTGCAGAAAACAGACATCGCGTATCACTCGACCAATTACTGCTACAGACCGTGACAAAATGATGGACGCTCACAGTTGACATCATAACGACACTCCCTGTGGACGTGAGTGCATCGTATTTGATCAGAATACAACAGCTTTAATCGGCACCCCCTGTCTAAACACTTCAAAAAATTCAACCGAATGAAAAGCAGAAGCACAGGTTGACGAGTCCAGAATATTCACGAAACGGGAGAGGGTGGATCCTTGATGACTTGATGTGTGAAATACTACGTCATCTTGTATCGCGCTTTCCGTCCACTCACGGAAACGGGAAGCAATTTTAATTAACCCGTTTCTGGATGCGCGTATTAGTTTCGAAACGTTTGCAACGCCTATTCGCACGGTGGACCTGCACGGTCTGAAATGGCGCCAACAAAAGCTTTAATTTGAACACCCACAAAATTGTAGGTCAGCACGCCATTCTTAAGCTTCTAATCTTCGTAGGGATGAATATGTTGCCCGCATGAATTAACCCAGTGTTTTGAACAAGACCGCTATCAATTTAACCGCCAGACACGACAAATATGAGGTTACCGAGATTACCAGAGGCATCCAGTTAAATGTTATGAGTACCGGCTTAGTTATCTTGCCGACCAAGCAAACGGTTGTCCGATACGCACCATATGCAGTAGTAAGCCAAAAACTAAAACGAATATTGCGAGATTGAGAATACTTTTGGAATTATAACTTGTTGTCGATTTACATTATGAATGAGGAATATCTAGGGATATGCATGAACGTCTGTGAAATAGTCCTAAAAAGAACATTGTTCCCATGGGAACAAGCTGATATATTAACGACTGTGATTCATTGAGAAATTTTAACGGCGCCATGTTGAGTGACGTATTGGAAGGTTAGCGTTAGTCCAGTTCCCCTAACGATACAGTCAACAACCATGGTAGAGAAAATGTATGAGGTGTGGGCACAAAACCAATAAACTTGCCTTGAGGAACATTCATGACACCCACCGTCAAGCCAGCAGTAATGTCCGCTAACAAGTCCGTTCGCCAGTTATAATGCCTCACAGTGTCAATACATGGTAGGCAGGCCCTGATGAACTTGGCACTATTTTTCGGACAATTTCGTGGATCACAGAGACGTTCATATTGTCCCTTTGCTCGCACAGAGATTAGATGCTTCAAAGATTCTTCCTTTACGTACCGTGGTAATTCAATGTCACTTGTGGTCAGAATGCATCGTTCGAATGCAATGCGACTGTCTGCATGAGATACTAACGAACTAGGAGAGGGATCCATGGCAAATAGCGAAGGCACTGACGGTTGTCGCACGCCAGCAGAGGGCTCATCTGATGGTGTAGTGTGCGTATACCCGCGGTCTGGCATTCGAAATGTGAATGCGCTGACAGTGCCTGATAAGGAGTGAGGGCCTATAATTTTAGTCGAATTCGAACAACGGACACGCGGTCTCTAAGGCCTAAAAGCCGGTGAGCAGAAAAGCACGCACACCCACTCATAATGTGGACCAATCCAATGCGAGGAATTTGCGCATGTCTAGTCACAAGCAGCGGGGTGAACTAGGACGGATTGCCGTATACGCGCAGCATGACACGGGAAACCAACAGCGATAGGGTTGGATGTGGCAATTAAAAGCAGAACAACAGAGTAGAGTAAAAATGAATTTGGTGGTACACGGGCGAGACTCGAGCACACAAATAGGTAGAGTAGAATCAATTTACACAAAGTGCAGCGGCAAATGACAAATACAACTGATCAGCAAACGACGAGACGACCTCGACGGCCGTCAAAGGACCGGTGCAAGAAAGTCCAAAGTATAGTAGAGCTTCGTCTTATGATACATAAAATGTGAAAGCGATCTCCAAAGTGTCTTGAGTGCCTTGTGCCTCTGCACAGGATAGTGAAAAAAAAACGTACAAGGCGTTTGCTGCTGCCGTACATGTGAATGAGGCTATCATCGTCAATCACAACTCGCAAAACTAAGGGGCTGGTTTCAGTGCACTTTCCAACAGGGACCAAACCTCACGCTCCGTAAGACGAGCTGTCCGGGATTGCACCGGACGCGGACCCTCCTCGGGCTTCGCGGTAGGCTGGCCGGAGGTGCCAAGAATTTTTAGAACGACACTGTCTTCTTCAGTGAATTCCTCCTCATGATTAGTCTCCTCAGGTTCGGCTTCCTGGTCGTCAGCTTCCGGCTTCGTGTATCCTGTTACATCCTGTTCTAACTGCAACTTTTCGGAAGCGATACGCAGAATACCTTCTTCCACCGTTCCCTCAGCAATGAGCCGTATTACATGCACCGGCCTGCAGAAAGTAAGTGATAGGGAAATTAAAATTGGAGAAACGTAAGGCGCTTAACAATTCGCTGATCCAGTTCACAAAAAAGTGGGATAAAATAATAATCCACAAAGTAAAGCAAAATCTTTCTCAAAGAAGCTGGTATAAGGATACCCACGAGAAGGCTGCTGAAGCCATCGGTTTAGGGATTGTAATCGAGTAGATAAAACTGTAAAACGCCCCTGGTCCGTGTAACGCACACCATCAACGACCTCGTACAAAGGAAGGAAATAGCTGTTCACAGCTTCTTCGATAAGAAGGGAAGGGTGAAAATTCATTCAATGACTACGTTAGGCGAAGCATAGGCTTCGTAGTTTGAGAGCGAACTAACGAGTGATCAACTGACCGTGGATCATGAGCGACCAAATCTACTGAAGTAACACATTGTCACTGAGTTGAAATATTAATCGGTCAAAAGTAATGCTACATTGTTTGAATCCCACATGTACCGAAGCTCTTAAAACGGCCCTGAGATCCGTCAAGAGGAAAACAATAAACAAATAACTGAACCGCACGCAGGTCGTCGCAGGTGACCAACTTCAATTACTTTTTACGACCATTCTGTGTGCTCACTCGCTATCGCGCGAGTGATCCACACCAATCAGAACAATAGACGACTTGATCGTATTGTATAGTGCGCGCAATGCGTCCGCTACGAAACTTGGTGTACCAACAAACCCTCAATATAGTAATCCCAAATTCTATCCAAACCCAGATGGCTACCATATACATATTGAATGTCGGGATCAGACGCACAAATTCGCCTGAAAGCCCAATTAGCTGTGAGTACACAAAAAGTCATTAAGATAGAAAGCAACATTTTTGTGGTCGCAGTATATCCTCCGGCGTGACCCAGAGGGACAGACTCATTCAAAACGACGTTTCACTTCTCAAAGTCACATTATCGATCACGAGTGAAATTCGGTGGTGAGATATGTTCTAGAAGTTGATTGACAGTTTAACTAATCTATTAAGAGGAAATTGTGTCGTTCCACACTACCGGTTCTTCAACAACAGGAAATATCGGCGAACAGGGAGAAGGGAATAGGGGCATGGTAGACACAAGAACATAAACAAACCGCAAACAGCAACTGAGACATTCGTTTCCAACTGATCGAGATAATGCAGAAATGATAGAAATAAACAGGTACTTATACAGGACAGCAAAGGCGACTACTGAGGGTCTCATGTGATTGGACAAGTTGAAAAATATCCTGAGTCCAAATATAAGCTATTTCAAATGCAATCTACCAACACCACATTAACTGCAACCGCGAACTGGAAAGGACGATATTCAGTGATGAGGAATAGGTGAATCTGAACGGTCCGAATGGATACAAAAAACAATGTTTTGGGTAACGATTACGTAATAGTTAAGACAGTAAATTTTGGTGTCGTTGATTCGACAGTTTATGATGGAAGACAGACAAAGCAACAAGTGGATCGACTTCCTTTCAGTTGTTGGAAATCTGAGCATTTAGTTCCTCGGTACAATAACACATTCGAACACACTAATTACACCAAAAAATGCAGTTATTTAACAATATTATACAATATTTACGGAACGCGCAACCCCCCCCCCCCCCAC